GACTATTGCTAGTCCACCTGGCGAGCTTTTTTTAGCAGCTAGCTCATCACCTAAATTTCTTCACCAATTAGCGCAGCCAGCAGTCACTACGTCACCAAGCTTCCACAATATTTCACAACATTTTGTGAAATTAATTTAGCTGTGTCACTCTCGGACCAGACCGAAAGAAAATAATCAAAGTGATGTCATCAGGGTTATCTGAGTTCAGTCTGGAGGACTGTAAATGTTTAACAGAAAGCATTCGTTACAAACTGGAGGTGTGGAGTTCAGAAGAAGTGAGCATTTATCACACAAATTAATGGTCTAACGAAATTTGGTTACATTATGGATAATGTTGGATACATAATTTTGGAGTTTGTTCCATGCGGAGGACTAATGGTTTAACGGTTTCACTATGAAACCATTGCTTTTATGTGTTTGTGTCTCCAGCAAGACCTCCAACCCCAAGAAGTGTAGGCTAAAACAAAATCACTAGAATACTCATTTATCTTTTCATTATTATTATTCACGTCAAGAAATGCGTTTGTCCATAAAGACAATTTTTTGTGTCAAACACTGATCAATTTTTAAATCCTTGTTTTTCTTACCAGGAAATTAGTCAAATTCAAGTTTTCCAACAATAAGAAATATGTCTATGATGAATTTAGCCTTCATCAGACCACAAATGAGACATGAAATACACCCTGCAGTCCGTCTCTTTGTCGCTTGGAGACTACTTTGCCGTGAGGAGAGCGGGCACCAGCTTCAGAGAGAGTCTAGTAACTTGATTTTCAGCCAGCACAGTCCCTAATGTTAGCGTCTCCGTCTCCGGAGCTGCCGTCTGCTCTTCTCCCTGCTGTAGTCTCCTAGCGGCGGGGAGGAGGGACCCAGCGGCAGCCCGCTGTTCTGCTCATTTCTTGCAACCAGTCTAAAGCTTTGTTTATAGCGTACAAACAAAATGAACACTGAGGAATCAAAAAGACATAGAGTGTTACCCATAGATATGCCCATAGGCTGTAGGTGTAACCTGCAAAAGACTATAGACCAACCTCCACAATGACGAGGATGTATTGTAATTATCTGTAAACTCATATCTGGACTTCTTTATTGCCTTTATACAAGCTCTGTAAAGAAACAAGTCAAGTATTGCATGCATTACAAGGAAACTAAGTTTTAATATTCTGTAAACTATTTGATTTGGCTGCAAAGTATTTACTCAAATAAAGAGACAAATTCAGAGGTACACGATGAATCGCTTGGTCGCGGCACTCACGCGCTGGTCGTGATTACGTCATTTCCTGGCGCGCTCGCGCCTCACACCTGCTACACTATAACGAGGATAAAACAACCTAACATTAGCGAAGGTAGGGTTCACTCTGAACAGGTTGCCTGAGACAACTATTCATGCTCACATCCACACCTACGGGCAATTTAGAGTCATCAATTAACCTATAGCCCATCTTTGGACTGTTACAGGAGAACCCGTAGAGAACCCATGCTGACATGCAAATTCCACACAGAAGGCCCATCTAGCCTGGGAATCAATTCTGGGCCCTTCTTTCTGTGAGGCAATGGTGTTAGCCACCACATCACCGTGCAGCATTTTCAGCATTGAAATGCAAATTTCTATAGATTTAGTAAGAAACGTCAAAATTAACACCAGTATTAATGTGGTTCATTACTGTCATGCAATTTAGTTTTTAGCTTAAAAAACATGTTGAAGTGTGCAATTACAAAACAGTATTTTATGTAAGACCCTATCACTCTTTTCAAGGCCTTTAAGAGGAACGAAAAAGTGAAACTGTACATTGAAGGGGAGCCTAAGAGGAGAAGGTAAACACTCCCTGCGGGCAGCTTCACTCCAAAGGATTAGTATCAGTATAGGTCTTCAAAAACCCACTATTGGCATCTAAGCAAAATAAGCCCTGTCCCGCACCCTCCCACCCCTAAAAATACACACAAACACGCACACCTGCCTTCGCACCAATAAGACGTCAACCACTGCCGCTCTGAATGTGTTTGCACACCGGCGTCGGTTGACTGCACTTCCTCATTGACTGACTTGAACAATTTATTGTGACGCGCCGCTGAATCCAAGGGGGGAATTTAGATTGAGATTGAAAAAAAGAAGAAAGGAAAATCAGACGCGACCTGAAAGCGTTGCGGGAGAGAGATAGAAAAACGGGGGGTTAACCTGAGGCGAGGGAGACAGGGAGATATATGAGCCTGTCACTCAACATTACAGTGTCACTACAAGCTGGACAATCATTAACGCGGCTAATGAACACAGCGGGGCTGTGCTGCAGTACAGAGTGTGCACACGTAAAGCCACTGTGGGGAATTTCATTAGTCCTGCTACAGCAGTGATATAATCCACTGATTCCCAACCAGGAGGTGCGTCTGCTGTTACCGGGGGAGGGGTACCTGAGGGGCTTAGCTTATATAAAAATTGAGAAGAAATGATAATTATATATCCACATTTGTGTTGTTTAGGAGTAAAATAAACACACAAATAGGATTTGAAATTGGTGTGAACTTTATTGTCGCAATGACATTCCAACTATATTAGTCTGACTGTCAACTCCAGTCGACTCCAACCTGAGTCACCTGTAACAGCTGCCATTGAGAGTGTCATGCATGGTTAACACTTCTAATTCATGCCACTCAAAGGGGGGGAAGTGCAAAGTACAAACTAAACCGAAACTAGTGCAAACTGGAAAGGTGCACTCGGTAGAGTGCAGATCTCCGCCAGGTGTGTCTGCAACGACCACTGCTGTCATGTGTGAATGAATACTAATTGCTCCTGACGCAACAGATACACTGTCCTGCACCTGCTCCGTTTAGTCAATAAGCGTGAATCACTGCAACCGCGAGAGGTCTTTGAGCATGCGAGCACAAAAAAACATTAGGCCAATGGGCTCAGCGGAATTAGCTGTGGACAGACAGGTACATGCACAAACACACGACCGAACACATGATCTCCTGGCGAAATAACAAGACTCGTCATCCTGTTAGACTCCACCTTTTTAAGTAGGTCAGACGACCTCCCACTGTGACTTCAAGAAAAACAACAAGAAAAACACCAGCAACAGCCAGATATGGGCGTGCCTCGTTGAAGCACTGTCAGTGAGAAGCGCTCGGAATCCGATAAAACAACTGGAAAAGAGAAATCTTTGAATGCACCACCACGTTGCGATTTCTGGACATTGACTACAGATTGAATCAGTTTTATACTTGTGTCTCTCTGTTGACTCATCTTCAGGCCTTTGAAAAAAGGGTTTTCGGCCCACCAACAAGGGCCCTTCAGACTTATGTTTCCTACATATCTTCTTCTTCGCATATGATTTTCGGTAACAAGTACTCAGCAGTTTGTTTCCCTCTGTTCAGTCATGATAACTTCCATTGTCAGAGAACAATACATCGGTCTTTGTTTCTTTGTCCAGTTTTGGTAGATCTGCCTCCGTACACGGACCAATCTGTAATTTATGTAATAAAGTGTAATAAAGAGCAGTGGACACTCACTAAAATGCCCCTTTAGCTCTTGGGCTAAAACACCTGTCTGTGACTCTTAACGCCGTATAAGGCTTTACCACAACCCCACTATTGTGCTATAAACAATAGACGTTCTCTCAGAGTGAGTTTATGGTGCTGTAAAGATGCCCCTTTTTCTGATTTCTCCTCATTTGCAAGCTTGCAGTGGCCACACACAGGCTCCCAGACACACTAACACCATACAAAACACACAAAGACACAAATGAATAAACTAAACAAGGTCATCGTCACGACAGCAGCACGCTCACACCCGACAGCAAGTTCATTAATTACAAAGTGGTCATCTACAAGCAGTGTCATGTCAATACAAGACCGTATAATCAAATCTTCTTACATTTGGTTAAGAAAAAGTTTTTCTATTCATATGTTTTTTAAATCTTTCATTGTTTGTATATAATGTATGGTCTTTGTGTAGAAATCTATCAATGGAAAAAAAGAACAAGTTTTTTTTAAGTCAAAACACAGTCTAGTGATTCTTAATAGAACATTTACTGTGAGTAGATATCAACAAGCATGTTTTTTTTTTAAATAACAAGAAAAAAACCTGTAAGCGTTTATAGACCGTAGGCACAATGAAAAATATCCCTTAAAAATCTTAAAAATACCTTAATTGTCACTTTTTTTTGCATACAAAAATAAACTATATATCAGCGCTTCGCAGTGGTCTACGGATCATCAATTTGTGTTGCTCTAGCAATGTTGTTCTTGTTTGTAGCAATTGACATAAATGGGACAAAAATGGCATCAAAAATCCCAATTATTTCAAAACCACAAACTGGTTCGAAGACAAGCTAATTTTAAGCAACATTGTATATTTAAAAATTAAAATTTTTAAAATGTTTAAAATCAGAGGAATTATTAGAGCTATTAGACAAACAACCCATATAAGCATGTCTAAACTGCGGAGGGTGCGTCCTTTACCATCCGCGTGTTTCAGTCGTGGTATGAAAGTTTCAGCGCGGGGCTTGGAGCTGGAAGGGCGTAGCCTAGTGTCACTTCTGATGATGGAACACAAAACCACTTGAGAGATTAATTGGCTTGCTTGAACTAAAAGAGCACAGAACCTCAGCCAAAAACGGAATTATTGAGACCAAAATATACTTGCATTTTTTAAATATTCACTGCCAAATCAAACGTTTTTTTTTAACTCTGCTGAAAAGTTGGCAGGAAAAAAACACACACACACAAACACACACTTCTTCCCATCCATCCCCGGGGCTCCAAGACCGTGAAATGGACCAAAACGAGCCGTAAAAAACGTACCTCGGAGTAATGATAACTAGAAGACGCAGAAATATCTCTCTCTACCTCGGAGCATAATGTGAGGCTACAAATTAAGTGTGACTCTACCATCCTCATCTCCATCCAACTTGTGAGTTAAGCACCATCTAGACAAAGATAGTTTATTTATGTTTCACCAAACAGTTTCTCTCTTTTTCTAATTGTAAAAGTCAAATCAGTGAACGTACCTGAGAAGAAGAGAGCGAGCACACTCCCGATGAGAAACATGTTTGCAGTGTTCGGGACACCAGAGGGGGGTAAAACGGGAACAAGAGACTTGGTGCGTTCTGGTCCAGCAGCACCGCCGTGCGCCCCGCAGACGGACAACCCAGCCTGCCGCTACATTCACCGCGCCAACAACACGCGCCCGTTCGTCCTTTGCTCTTTGCCCGCAGACGGCTCGGTCGCTCAAGTTTCAAATCCTCAGCAGGAAGACGGAGGAGCCACCGAGGAATGCGTCGGAGCAAAGTATACGCACCGGAGAGGCAGCCTCTGAGTGTGACTGTTGTTTTTTGTGCCAAAGGCTTCCAGCTTGCCGCCACGCCGCTTGGGGTAAAAAGAGAAATCACAACTACTGGATGGAGGAAATGTCAAGCGTCACCGGGGGATGCAGCTCTGCCCGCGGACAGTCATCGCGACGCGGCTCCGCTGGTCAGGGGGTCCCGGTACATTCTGCGATCATGATGCTGACAGGCAGAGGAGGCTGGGGTTATTAACTGGCGATATCCCTCCTCCTACTCCTCCTCCTCCTCCTTCTCAGAGCACCATCATCACCTTTAGGGACAGTAAGGGATTGAAATAAACCTATACTGAGTTCATAGAAGTGAATTTAAAAAAATGGCATTCATAATCCTAAAATAATTTGCATTTGATGCAATCCAAGTGGCTTTTGAAATCAGCACCCAAGAGCAAAACATAAAACCCCAAATATTGTGCATTGCTAATAATTAGTTTGTTGCAAATAACCCAAAGATTAAATATCATTTTAATTTCTACGCTACAACAAAATCAGTGAAGTCTAAGTCTCTTGCAAAATAAGCGCTGGCATTAATTAAATGAACTATACAGTCCTTATTATTTATCTGAATTGTTTTGAAAATTGCAGGATGAAATGCTTCTGCATCTTTTTTACTTTCGTTTTGCACAACTAAATTGTGGTCATTAGTTGCACATAAAGTGTTTTTTTTGGCAGCAACTTAAACAGCAGTGTTGTTTCAACAAATTAGTGTTATTCTAATATATATGATAATACAATTAAGTTCACTTTACCAGTGTTTATCATTTCACCCAAACCAATCTTGTAATTTTATTTATAGATGACAAGATTTATGACATATATTGCTGACAAACAGTGACTCTAGTCTTCCCCTCAGCTCTGCGGAGCGTTTTATCATCTTTCAGCTCATTGTTGCTTTTACTTTTTTTCCCTCTAAACTGTTTTGGTTCACGCTCATGGCTGTCATCAACCTCCTCTGCCAGCATCAGACAGCTGTTTTCAGTGAAAGAGCTGTGATAAACATGTCACAGCTTGAGACTGGCTGGTCAGTATAGTGGAGCTCTAGCGGCTAAAGGGACATTTCCTTCAGGAGTTGGTGGAGACCAAAAGGAGAGCGAATATTGGACTTTCATCAGGTGGCCAGAAACACTGTGTTCTGTATCTGATAGATATGTAAGCAACTGTTTGTTATTACGTAAGCTATATCAACTTTATCGTAATATGTCAATTTTGTGATTACATTTTGTGCAAAAGAAGAAAAAAACAACATTCGCAGCTTTCCTAGAAAAGGATAACTGCTATGAGCCCAGTCACTATAAACCCAAACAAATTACATGAAACATTGCTGTTACATTTAAAAGTTAGCTTTGTGATAAAAACACAAATAACTACTAAAATATATCAAATCCAAATAAGATAAAAGTCATATTACACTAACTTACTAGAAATTTGTGGAATATAATATAGATATTGCTATGTACACATTTAAGTACCATACGGTTACCATTGTTTGATAAAAATGTAGCTACAATTTGAATGTTAATAGTAAGAATCAGAATCAGAATCAGAACCGTTTATTGCCATGTATGTTGAACATACAAGGAATTTGGCGTGACGGGAGGTGCAAACATTTAACAATCAACAACAATCAAGTAGAAACATATTAAAATTTACAAGAGATATGAAATATGAAATCAAGTAAGATATAAAATAAATTAAATATAAAATAAAGATGAAATATATAATAAAGTGAAATCTAAAATAAAGTGCACAAACGAACAGATAACAGGACTATAAACAACGAACAGATGACAGGACTATAAACAAGTGAGATGTAAGTGTAGTGTAAAGTGTCGAGTGTAATAGAAGGGATGCAGGGGAGTGGCCGGTGGGAATTTGTCCTGGGGTGACAGAGTCAGTGGGGGACCCGGGCTCTGTTAATGAGCCCGACTGCGGACGGGAAGAAGTTGTTCGTGTGGCGTGAGGTCTTGGTCCTGATGGACCTCAGCCTCCTACCAGATGGAAGTGGCACAAACAGTTTTTGTCCAGGGTGAGGGGGTCGGCTACAATCTTCCTTGCTCGCTTCAGGGTCCTTGAAGCGAACAAGTCCTGGAGGGACGGCAGATTGCAGCCAATCACCCTCTCGGCAGAGCGAATGATGTGCTGCAGCCTACCCTTGTCCTTGGCAGTGGCTGCAGCGTACCAGACTGTGATGGAGGAGCAGAGGATGGACTTAATGATGGCTGTGTAGAAATGCACCATCATTGTCTTTGGCAGGTTGAGTTTCTTCAGCTGCCTCAGGAAGTACATCCTCTGCTGAGCCTTTTTAGTGATGGAGCTGATGTTCAGCTCCCACTTGAGGTCCTGGGATATGATGGAGCCCAGGAAGCTGAAGGACTCCACCGCGTCGACGGGAGAGTCACACAGGGTGATAGGGACATGTGGGGCTGCAATCTTCCGGAAATCCACAACCATCTCCACTGTCTTTCGAGCGTTGAGCTCCAAGTTGTTCAGACCGCACCAGGTCACCAGATGGTCAGTCTCCCACCTGTAGGCGGACTCATCCCCACCAGAGATGAGTCCAATGAGGGTGGTGTCATCCGCGAACTTCAGGAGCTTGACGGACTGGTGACTGGAGGTGCAGCTGTTGGTGTACAGGGAGAAGAGCAGAGGGGAAGAACGCAGCCTTGGGGGGAACCGGTGCTGATGGTCCGGGAGGCTGAGACGTGTTTTCCCAGCTTGATGTGCTGTTTCCTGTCAGGCAGGAAGTCTGTGATCCACTTGCAGGTGGAGTCGGGCACGTGCAGCTGGGAGAGCTTGTCCTGCAGCAAAGACGGGATGATAGTGTTGAAGGCAGAGCTGAAGTCCACAAACAGGATCCTGGCGTAGAGTCCAGATGCTGGAGGATGAAATGAAGGGCCAAGTTAACTGCGTCGTCAACAGACCTGTTGGCTCTGTAGGCGAACTGCAGGGGGTCCAGGAGTGGGTCAGTGAGGGTTTTAAGGTGAGACAGGACAAGGCGCTCAAAAGACTTCATGACCACAGAGGTCAGGGCGACGGGCCTGTAGTCATTAAGTCCTGTGATCCTTGTTTTTTTGGGGACGGGGATGATGGTGGAGACCTTGAAGCAGGCTGGTACATGGCATGTCTCCAGGGAGGTGTTGAAGATGTCTGTAAACACCGGAGACAGCTGATCAGCACAATGCTTCAGGGTGGAGGGGGAGACAGAGTCTGGGCCGGCTGCTTTGCGGGAGTTTTGTTTTTTAAAGAGCCTGTTGACGTCACTCTCCAGGATAGAGAGAGTCGTCACTGGGGAGGGGGGTGGGGGGGACACTGTGATGGGTGATACAGAGGCGTGGGCCCCTGCTGGGATGGGGGAGGGGGATCTGGTGGTCTGGGGCTGGTTGATGGAGCTGTGGGGGATGGAGTCAGGGCTGTCCCATTGTCCATCAAAGCGACAGTAGAACTCGTTCAGCTCGTCTGCCAGGCGGAGGTCGTTCATGGAGTGGGGGGTTTTAGGCTTGTAATTGGTGATGTGTCTAAGGCCTCTCCAGACAGAAGCAGAGTCATTTGCTGAGAGCTGGTGTTGCAGTTTCTCAGAGTACAGACGTTTAGCATCTCTCACCGCCTTACTAAACCTGTACTTTGACTCTTTGTACAAGTCCTTGTCCCCACTCCTAAAAGCCTGATCCTTTTGCAGTCTTAGCTGTCTGAGTTCAGCTGTAAACCAGGGTTTGTCGTTGTTGTAACACACCCTGGTGCTTGATGGAACACAGCTGTCCTCACAGAAGCTGATGTATGAAGTCACAGCCTCTGTGTACTCATCCAGACTGTTGGTAGCAGTCCTGAATACATCCCAGTCTGTGCAGTCGAAGCACGCCCGAAGATCCTCCATAGCTTCACTGGTCCACTTCTTGAATTTCCTCACCACAGGTTTACAGAGTTTGAGTTTCTGCCTGTATGAAGGAATCAGATGGACCATGACGTGGTCAGAGAGACCCAGTGCAGCACGAGGGACGGCGTGATAGGCCCTGCTGATTGTGGTGTAACAGTGGTCCAGAATGTTCTCCTCTCTGGTCGGACATTTAATAAACTGTCTGTATTTGGGAAGTTCATGGCTGAGGTTTCCTTTGTTAAAGTCACCAAGGACAATAACTAGAGAGTCCGGGTAGGTCCGCTCCACACACAGTATCTGGTCGGCAAGTGCGCACTGTGCCTCCTGCACGTTGCCCTGCGGCGGCATGTAAACACCGACCAGTATAAATGAGGCGAATGAAGCGAAGAATGACACAAAGGCGACGGATCATCCTCTAACTAAACCTTTCTTTCTACCACACGTACTTCGCTTGAAGCTGAACTAAGTTGAAACACTATTGTTAGTATTCAGCTTCCCAACTCGTCACATACCGTATCTGTGTGTGACGATATGGCCCCTTGGCGTCAACTAGGTCTAGGCAACAAAAGTACTTGGTTAGGTTCATTAAAAGATGATGATTTGGGTTTAAAAAAACATGTTTGCTATGTACTTCCATTACCTAGCCTATGTTACTTATGTGATGTAAGTTAAGTATGTTTTGTAAATTAAGTATACACAAATTACTTACGTAACTTAAAATAAGTCAACATTGACTTTTTCTGTATGAACAGCGGTCTCCTGGTGAAGGTCCTGACTTTGTGTTACACATCCAAACTGCGCAGACCTTCTTGCTTGTTATACCATGTCCCATGACGTCCGGAGCAGTTGCTCTGAGCGGGTCACAAACTCACGTGACTAGCGACTGACGTGACAAAATGTCCACATTTACTTTTAGAGTTCACACTGGACACACGCCTGATGCTGCGCGTACACTTACTAAAGGGTGCATACATACGTCGGTGTCAGAGTCCATGAGCACTTGGCACGAGCCGCAGTTTTTGACGCATTGGGAGTGAATGGGTAGTGTGCATCGGTATCAGGGCAGTGCCAAAACATCGGTACTTCACATCCTGGGAATGAGACCGGGCTGATTGCAACATTATCAAATAACTCTCTGGCTATTGTGTTAAACTTCTCTTTAGTGTGTTAAAACACTTAACTCCAAATAGCTCCCGCAGGCTGTTCCTGTTGTGTATGAATTGGTATGAATGTTAGATAGTCCTGATGGGCAGGTGGCACCTTGCATGGTAGCCCCTGTCATCAGTGGATGAATGGGTGTGAATGGGTGAA